TTTTTTTTTTTTTTTTTTTTTTTTTTTTTTTTGTAGTGTCTTGACCTTTTTTTCATGTTTTGGATTCTTCTTTTTAAGCGTCCTTAAGCTTAAAGACATAAAATGTCTGATAATTCTATCATCTGAAGTTTGGTACCATCTCCTCCTGTAGTTTGGTGTGTCCGCTGGCTCTCACTCATGGTGGCTTGTTTCCTCATGTGTATTGAAATTATGCATTGTGAGATCATCTTCAACAGGGCTTTATCTACTGGAAATCCATGTGGACTTTTTGAGGGTCTGACCCTGAAGAGTGATTTTCCTTTGCTTCTTCTCCACTTTTTTATTTCATAAACTTCCCCTTGAAGACTTTTGACAAATCAGAAGCCTTTCTGTCTTCTGATTTGTATTTCTTTACAAATCATAAAACTTCAACATTGTCATTGTCTGCAATGTCCAAAACAACTCACGTGGGAATTTTAATTATTTTTAATTAATTTAAATTAAATAAAAATTAAGGATTCAATTCCTCAATCACACTAGCCACTTTTCAAGTGCCCAGTAGCTACATGTGGCTAGTGGCTACCATTTTGGACAGTGCAGATAGAGAACATTTTCATCATACCAGAAAGTTCTATTGAGTAAAGCTGATATACATTTCCATCATCCAGAAGTTCCATTGTGCCTCTTCGCAGTCAATATATGCATGTCTCCTCCCCATAAGGGGTAGCCGCTTCTATCACTGCCGATTAATTTTCATGAACACACTTTAAAAATCAAATGGTACTGGTACTAAGATATTTGTAATGAAGAAAAACAGTCCTCCTGCTACCTCTCCCTACTCCCATCTGCTTTCCAGAGGCCACCACTTTCAACTGCTATAGCTGTTTCCTCTGGTATTTTCTTGTATGTTTCTAAATATGCTGGCATTGCTATTTCTTGATTTCTCAATTTTAGACATTCTCTACTGATTTCCTGGTATAGTAGATGAGGCTTGAGGTCTATTAATCTGACTCTACTTTCCCTCTCCTCAATGAAATCATAATTTTTATATCAATCAATAGTTTTTTAAATGTTGTGATATGTAAATATGTTTTCACTGCAGAGCCATGCAGTATATTAGAATTTTCTCTTCACAAATTTCTAAATTTTTGAGAATTAAATTTACCTTTGTCACTTGCTTAATTTTATTTGCACCTATACTTAATCTTTTTCAAATGTTCCATGGAATCGTCCGTATTACTAACAGCTCACTCAAGCTTTTTTTCCTCCCTCCTAAAGTCCTCTCTCCTACTTGAATGAGGACTTGATGCTTTCTAGGCCTACACTAAGCTATCCTGGACTTCCCTGTGTTGGATATTGTTTCCTCGATTCCATGTCTATCTTTGTTGACTCTTCATTTTGCTGAAGCACATGCTCCAGTCGTTCTCTTAAAAGGGAGAGGAAGAGGTAAAGATTTTTGAGTTCTTGCATGGCTTAATATATCTTCATTTTATCCTCCAACTTTATTATAGTTTGGCTGGGTATAAAATTCTAGGTTGGAAATTTATGTATCCCTTGTCACTCAAATCTATTTTCTTCCTAAGTCGGAATGCAAGTTTGGATAACAAAGGAAACCTGTTTGTTTGGTTTTTTTTCCCCTCAGATTTGTTTTCATTCTCCCTCTGCTTTGAACTTGTATTTGACTTGCTTTATTCTGGAAGCTTTTGGGATCTTCTCTCTTTCTCTGGTTCTGAAATTTCATGAGGATGTGCCTCACTGTAGCTTTTATTCATTAATCATTCTGACCCTAAGTCTGTCCTTTCAATCTGGAGACTCATAGCCTTTGGTTCTGGGAAATTTTCTTGTATATTTTTGTGTTGGTTTCTTTGTGTGTGTGTGTGTGTGTGTGTGTGTGTGTGTGTGTGTGTGTGTGTGTTGGTTTCTTCGTTTTCTTGCTCTCTTTTTCTGGAATTTTTATTATTTGGATGTTGAATCTTCTGGTTTGAGCTTTCAGTGTTCTTATCTTTTCACCACTATTTTCCATCTCTGTTAATTTTCCCCTTACTTTCTAGGAAAATTCCTTGACTCTATCTTCTAATCCTTTTATTAAAATTTATGTTTCATCGGGGCTTCCCTGGTGGCGCAGTGGTTGAGAGACCGCCTGCCGATGCAGGGGACGCGGGTTCATGCCCTGGTCCGGGAAGATCCCACATGCCGCAGAGCGGCTGGGCCCGAGAGCCATGACCACTGAGCCTGCGCGTCCGGAGCCTGTGCTCCGCAACGGGAGAGGCCACAACAGTAAGAGGCCCACGTACCACAAAAAGAAGAAAAAAAAAAATGAAAATTTATGTTTCATCTATTATTTTGAATTCCCAAGGACTCTTTCTTGTTATTTAATTATTCATTTTTCATAGCCTCCAGTTCCTATTTTATAAATGTGATATCATCTATTATCTTGCTAGGTATTTTTTATACTATTTTAGTTACAGGTGTTTTTGTGTTTGTTTTGTAGCTTTCTTTTTTTCCCTGTGTAATCTTTGTTTCTTCTGGGCTTCTTTATTTTGTGTTTACACTAGTCTGATCTCTCTTTTGCATAACAGAGACAGGTTCGTTTCCCATTACTGCTATAACAAATTATCACAAACTTAGTAGGTTAAATAACACAAATTTATTGTCTTTTAATTCTGGGGGTCCGAAGTCTGAAACAGGTCTCAGTGGGCTAAACTCAAGGTGTTGTCAGGGCCATGTTCTACTGGGGGGAATCTGTTTCCTTGCCATTTCCAGTTTCTAGAGGTTGCCTACATTTCTACCAACAGTCTGTTTATGATGATTTAGTGTTCCCTAAGATTATAGAGATTTACTCTACCTTACTCCTCTGAGTTCCTTCTGAGTCCTCACCAGCAGAATTGCTAACACTCATATTTCTACAAATGGTCTGCAAGGCTATCTAGGCTTTTCCCATCATCTTCTCAACATTGTTCCAGCCTCTGCCCATTGTCCAATTCCAAATCCACTTCCACATTTTTAGGTATTTGTTACAGCAGCACCTCACTTCCAGTACCAAAATCTGCACTAGCTTCCTTTCGCTGCTTGTAACAAATTGTCACAAACTTGGAGGCTTAAACAATACAAATTTATTATCTTACCATCTGGAGGTCAGACATCTGAAATGGGTCTCACTGAACTAAAATCCAGGTGTCAGCAGGGCTGAGTTCCTTTCTGGAGACTATGGGAAAGAAGCCCTTGCCTTGCCGTTTCTAGTTTCTAGAAGCTAGCTGTATTCCTTGGTTCATGGCCCCCTTCTGCCTTCAAAGCCAGCTCTTGCATCACTTCCATCTCATACTTCCATTGTCACAGCTTTATCTCTTGACTCTGACCCTCCTGGCTCCCTCTTTTACTATGGCTACACTGGACCCATCCAGATAATCCAGGATAATCTCCCCCTCTCAGAATCTTTAACTTAGTCACATTTGCAAAGTCCTTTTTGCCACATAAGGTAGAAAAGGAGAACAAGTAAACAAGGAGACAGGACTTCTCTGGTGGCGCAGTGGTTAAGAATCCACCTGCCAATGCAGGGGACACGGATTCGATCCCTAGTCTGGGGAGATCCCACATGCTGCGGAGCAACTAAACCTGTGCGCCACAACTACTGAGCCTGCGCTCTAGAGCCCGTGAGCCACAACTACTGAAGCCCGCACACCTAGAGCCCATTCTGCACAACAAGAGAAGCCACCGCAATGAGAAGCCCGCGCACCGCAACGAAGAGTAGCTCCTGCTCGCCGCAACTAGAGAAAGCCCGCGTGCAGCAAAGACCCAATGCAGCCAAATAAATAAATAAATAAAATTTAAAAACAATACAAACAAACAACAACAAAAAAAACCCAAGCAGGGCTTCCCTGGTGGCGCAGTGGTTGAGAGTCCGCCTGACGATGCAGGGGACACGGGTTCGTGCCCCGGTCCGGGAAGATCCCACATGCCGCGGAGCGGCTGGGCCCGTGAGCCATGGCCGCTGAGCCTGCGCGTCCGGAGCCTGTGCTCCGCAACGGGAGACGCCACAGCGATGAGAGGCCCGCGTACCGCAAAAAAAAAAAACAAAAATAAAACCAAGCAGACAGAAGTCCCTGCTCTCAAATTCAAATAGTATCTGGAACTTTGATTATATTAAGCAATTATTATTCCTTTTTTTGAGATGTGCTATGATATTATGGTTATGTTTTTACAAAGAGTCTTTACTTTTAGAGCTACATTCTGAAATACTGATGGATGAAATGATATGATGTCTGGGATTTGCTTCAAAATAATCAACTGGTGGGAGGGGAAGTGGTTGGGGTGTAGATGAAACAAGATCAGCCCTGAGTTGAAGATTGATAAAGCTTCATGTATGTGGGGCTTCGTTAGACTATTCTCTCAACTTTTGTATCCATTTGAAATTGTCCCTAATAACCGGTGATAAAATGCCCCTGGTTTTGTAGAGCCGACATTCTAGTGGAAGAGACAGACAATAAACGAAATGATAAGCAAGAACTATATCCTATCAGATGCTGATCGCTGCTATGGAAAAAAATAAAGCAGAAGTGGATATATTGCGCCTGATTGGAAGTGTATTCATTCATTGCCTCCGGCTACTGTCACAAATGACCCCAAACTCAGTGGCTTAAAACAACACACATTTATTTTCTTACAATTCGTAAAATCAGAAGTCTGAGGTTAGTTTCACTGGGCTGAAACCAAGGTGCTGGCAGGGCTGCACTCCCTCCAGAGGCTGTAGAGA